AGTCCCCCCCCCCCCCCCTCCAATATATACTAAAGTCGCTGGAAGTCAATTCTCCCCCCACAACTGCGGAGTGACCCTGAGTAGGAGACAAAGCAAACACTAAGGCCGAATTAGCAACAAGCTGTTACCCAAGTCTGGCCCAGGTTCAGCACACACTCAATCGGACTTTGTGGTGATTAACACAGACCTGCGGAACTGTTGGTGCTTCTAAAATGTCACACAGAGCAAACACACACACACACGGTTACTATTCTCATCGAGAGAGTGAGATTTTACTACAACCGATTAGTTTGAAAAAGTATTTAGGCAACTAAATCGATTATGAAAATAATCGTTAGCTGCAGCCCTAGTAGGTACATTAGGCCGTAAGCTCCTTCAGTGGTAGGATTGCTGTGGAAGGTCTTTGTGCTCTATAAAAGGTCTGCAGATCTCGGCCAGGCAATATAAATGAATAAATTCAGTTACTGTGGGCGTGTAGAATGGGCCCCTCCTGGTGCATTCATGCAAATTCAATTAATTTCCTGAGGTCCCCCAGGTCCCAGGGCTCCCTATGATGAAAACTATGAGTGAGTGGTACGTGAAATGGACAGGCAACGGAGTAATACCAGCAGCTCTGGTGGGAATCTGATTTGCCCAGAATTGGGGCTCCCAGAGAGTTCGGTAAATAAACGGAACATGTATGCATCTACAGGGGCCAGTTGATCAAACTGGTAGAAGCAACCATGAATACAAAAGCTCAGTCATACCATCTCCATTAAGCTGCACGCGCGCGTCTGCGCAGCTGCAGGGCGATTGCTCTTAGACTGGTCCCTCGAGCCCTTCTCCCCCTCGGTTTCAGCAGTCTACGGTCCCTGACTCATCACGTTCTATACAGTGCATAGGATGTGAGGACCCTGAGGGACATTCCATTGCTGAATTGGAAGAGAAGAGAGGCTGCAGGGACAAGTCTAACAGCCAGCTGGCTGCGAGGTTCAGGCGAGTACAACTTCTTTATTTTCGTCCTTAGACGAAAATGAGCACTTAACCCTTTCAGTTCTGGGGTAGCCCCACTGCAAGAGTCAAGAATAATTCTTCCCAGGGTCCTCCTTTTAAAAAAAAAAACAGCAATCTTTAATGTTTGGGATACTGCAGACAAATGTCACCGGGAACGCTAACAAAGAAAAGTCTAATACAAGTATTCAGCAAAGTCAACGCTCAGTACGGACATCTGCTCAGACAACTGTGGCATGTGGCACAAATGTACATTCTTCTCACATCAGGTGCACGTGTGACTGACCCGGCAGGGTGACAGTTGTACCAAGAGACAGTGTGGGGCTTGTATGGCCACAACAGACACATATTTTGGGAACAAATCACAGAGGAGATATAGTGCAATTTAATGCAAATCGTTTAGCACATCACGCCTAATCATTTTTATATGTCACAACATGAGATTTACACATCAAAGTTCATAATCTGAGTCAGCATGTATTAAGGTGTACCTCTAGTCAAACTTTTATTTGTTAGGGCCCGTTCTGATCTCTCCCGTGCATTGATGTACAGCACTTTTTTTTTTCATATTGCGCTACGTTAAGAAGCTCCTTTAAATTTTGAATAGACCACAATGCTCCAAATTTCTTAACCCAATGCATCACAATGATTGCAGGAATGCACTGTAGAAACGTGTTTTACACACATTACCCGCAACGCATAGATCTGAACAAGCTCTTAGTTTTGATTAGGTAATGGTTAGAGGCCCTTCAGGGACCTGTTGCTGTCTGTGTCCCATAAGGCTGGGTTCACACCTAGGCGTATTGAATATGCGCGTTTTTACCGCGATTCACTGTAAACAAAACGCGCGTTTCCGAGGGCTACCTGGCTGTATCCCAATGGATACGCGCGACAAAAACGCCCCAAAGAAACATTTGCTGTACTCAAATGTTTGACTTTAGATGCACTTTACCACAAAATAAACTGAAAACATGTATGCCAAAGACATGGTACAACGAATTGCATACACACAGCAGCACACAGCAGCACACAGCAGCACACAGCAGCACACAGCAGCACACAGCAGCACACTCCCGGCACCATGCCGACATCAAAATGAGTTCAAAGTATCACAATACAAAAAAATAAAAATACAGAAGCTTCCACTGCTGGCCTCCTATGGAAAACGCTAGTTGCCTGGTTGTCTCTGGCTTCAGCAGGTTGAGAGTTTGACCCAGGATAAGCATGCAGAGAAAAAGAGAATGAAGCTAGAACCCAAAATCTGCATACTTTGACATGGCAGCGACTGAGAAAGTACTGAAGCCATGATTTTGCCCTGACCTAAATTAACCCCCCCCCCCCTACAGGAGGATGGTTTCCTGGAT